CCCCCCCACCCCCCCCACGCAATCAATGCTGGACTTGGTCCAGAGCTTCTTAACAGGGGTCTGTGCCATGTTGCTGAAGAGGAAGAAGCAGTGTACACAGGTCATTCAGTGCAGCCAAGCATCAGCACTGGGTGACAGAAGGGGGAATGGGGAGTGTCCACAGGGTTTGCCATTCCTTACCATAGCGGCTCAAAGAGTGGGTGAAAGTGAAAGAGCTGGCAATATTGTAGCCCGAGGCTTGCCTAGGAACCAGTGCCACCGTGGAGCCATCTGTTACCTGCACATTGAATTGCAGGGATGGCAGGGATGGAAAACATGGTAGGGGTTGATGGGATGGTTAAAGGTAGGAGTGGGGTGGGAAAAGGAATAAGAAGAACAGAGTAAGCATTACCACAGCACATTTGAAATGTCCAGTGCCTTTTCCATACAGTATCTGATTCATCTTAAATAAGGTAGCATTATGACCCACATATTGGGGAAAGAACATGTATGCAGCTGCAGCTGGGAGAATAGCAGTTTGGCCTAGAGCCAGTTGTCTCAGGATGGAGACAAGAGTTGAGCAAGAGGCTTCCTGGCTTGCAGTTTAGCCACTTTCCTGCACCTGCTATTACTGAAACATGCAAGAATATAGTTAGGATAACCACCCAGAAGGCAGATGATCACAGGAGCTTTCAAATATGGCCATGAACAAGGCCCTGAGGCCAACCACATTCAGAGGACTGCTATTCTTTCCTGTGCTAGCACATCCATGTAGGTCCAGCCCCAGCCATCTAATCTAGTTTGCTCCTCAAATCTTCAAATGGTTTTTCTGGGGGGAAACCCTGCAGAATATAAAACAGCCACCACATTTTGAGCTGTTTATGATTACTACAAGGAAGCCAAACCTGCATCCTCAAAAAAACTACTGAGTTTTCTATGTTGTGATAGCCCCAACCCACATTATTAGAACAGTTAATCTGCACCCAACCATGGATGAGAAACATAGGGCCTCTACAGACAGGTGGCCATGGGCTGCCCCAAGAAGCCGCAGATTGGAACTGAGGCTGCCCCATGCGTTGGCCCTGATCCACCCTTTTGGCGCCTCTGAAAAGGAGCGCTAAAATAGAGCTCCTTTCAGAGGAGTCAAAAGGGGTGCCGGAAGAGGCGTCAGGTGCCTCTTCCGCATTCCTTCTGGCTCAGCATGTCCGGACGCTGAGCCAGAAGGACGTCATCAGAGCGCTCATCATGTGCAATGGCGAGTGCTCCAATGACACCCTCAAGAAGGGGTTGGGGTGCCCAGCGTCCGGCTGCCCCTCCCCTTCTCTAGCTTCAAGATGGCGCTTTTTGCCATCTGCATCCCCCCATAGTTACCTGATAATGTCCTAGGGTGTTGAGACGTTTCCAGTCTCCTTCAATCTTGCTAGTGGCATCCTCATCCTGCAGGATAGTCCGACCACCATTGCCCTGACACCACTCTGAGATGAAAACAAAGGCAAAAGGGTACTATATATCCATTCCATGCTCCCTTTTTTCTTTATAACTCAAGACAATGGCCAATTACAGTGGGTCCTTGGTATTCACTGTGGTTTGGTTCTAGGACCCCCCAAAGATACTAAAATCTGTGGATGCACAAACCCCATTAAATATAATGGTATAGTAAAATGGTGTCCCTTATATAAATGGCAAAATCAAGGTTTGGTTTTTGGAATTTATATTCTTTTTTAATATTTTCAAGCCGTGGATGCTTGAATCCATGGATATGGAGACCAACTGTACTCATGTCTGCATCATGCTTCCAGCCTCACCCACTTTCTATCACACTCTGCTTTCATACCTAGCTCCATATCTTCAGCACGTGGGCGCTGTGAGTAGGGCACCCCTCGGTACACAGCATCCAGCAACTTCTCCTTCACTTGTGTCACCGAATCACAATTTAACACCTTGACAGGTACCGCAGGGCCCCCAGGTGGCTCAAGTGGGTTACATAACAGTGTCTAGGAGGAGAAATAAACTGGTAACTTTTTACTCATCCAAGTGCTGGGTTCACATGTTTCTGCGTTTAGAAGCACTGAGATATTTTCTGTGCTCTGCAAGCTTCATCTGATCTCCTGCAAATTCAGGTTCTAAGCAGAAATGAT